CGTGAGTTTTAAGCCACCGGGTCTGGGACACGAACCGCGGTCGACTACGTGGGAGTCCAGCGACATAGCCATTACGCTAACTGCTGGTTCCCAGAGCCCAGCGTGAGTTTTAAGCTGCCAGGCCCAAGACTTGTACTGTGGTTGGCCAATTAGGAGTCCAGCAACGTACCATCTGCTGGCCCCCTGATTCTGACTTTTTTTTAATAAAAAATTATTTTATTTAACTTTATTTATTCATTTATTTTAATTTGACCAGAGAGGGACAGAGTGAGAGAGAGCAAGAGAGGGAAATTAGAAAGCAAGCTGCCAGGTCTGGGACCCAAACCGTGGTCAGCCATCTGGGAGTCCAGCGCCCTTAACCACAATGCCACCTGCCAGCCCTCCTGATTCTGACTTCTGAGAGTTAATATAGTATAAGCGTTAAGACTGAAGTTTGGGGCTAACCAGTGGGGTGGTGTTAAGGCAACTGGATCCCAAATGACCTTTGTGTCCAGGACCCAATGGCTTGAAAAACACGCAGGAGCCAGTATGTGTGTGTGTATATGCCCAAAATTCTGAGAGAAGTGGAGGAGAAAGGATTGTATGGCCATCCCCCCAGGGCATGCTTTTTCATGTTCTCTTTCTCCTGCGAGCGTACATACCTTCTGGGGAAAAAAAAAAATCTACAAAAGAAAGATTGTAGTTTGTTTTTTGTGAGGAAGATTGATGATCTGTCTTACAACTGTTCCTATACCACAGGGGACCAGCAGATGGCATAATGGTTACATCACTGGACTCTCGCATAGGTGACCACACAGGTTCAGTACCAGACCTGGCAGCATAAAACTCATGTTGGGCGCGTGTGCGTGCATGCCCAGAATCTTAAGAAGAGAATGGAGAAGGGATTGCAGCATGGCCTTCTGCCCAGGGAATGATTTTTTACCTTCTGTCTCTCTCTCTGTGTCTCTCTGGCGAGCACAGTTTTGGGATAGCGAAATTCTCTCTTTAAAAAAAAGAGAAAGAAAAAGACTGTTCCTATGCCATGAACAAAAAAATATGTTCAGCAAATATTTATTGAGTGCCTGGTGTATGCCAGATGCTGTGGTGAAGCAAAGAGGGAAACAATCAAGTCCTTTCCTCCAAGAGTTTAGTTTAACTTAAAAGTCAGTTGTGGGGCTAGCAGATGGTATAGCGGTTACATCGCTGGACTCCCACATGGCTGACCGTGGTCCCGGATCTGGTGGCTTGAAACTCACACCAGTGCGTATGTGTGCATGCCCAAGATCCTAGGAGGAGAGTGGAGGAGAAGGGATTGCCACATGGCCATACCCCCTGGGGCCTGATTTTTCCTGATTTTTCTTCTCTCTCCTCCCACCCTATGAGCTCACATGCCCTAAGGCAAAAACCTCTACCAAAAAAAAAAAAAAAGGCAATTGTAAATCTAATAATACTGCTGTTAATGTTATTATCTTTAATTCTGTAGAAATAAAAGTCATAGGGGTCCAGGAGATGGCATAATTGTTACAACCCTTGACTCCCATATAGGTGACCGCAGTTTGAGTCCCAGAACTGGCAGCTTAAAACTTATGCTGGGCATGTGTGTGCGCGTGTGCCCAAGGAGAACGAAGAAGGGATTGCAGTGTGACCATCCCCCCAAAGGGTGATTTCTCGCTTTCTGTCTCTCCAATGAGTGCACACGCCCCATGGCAAAAATCTCTCTTAAAAAAATAAATAAAGGGCCTAGCAGATGGTATGTTGGTTGGGAGCACTGGACTTCCACATGGCTGACTGCGGTTCTAGTCCAGACCTGGCAGCTTGCTTTCTCACTTTCTCTCTCACTTACTCTGTTCCTCTCTGGTCAAATTAAAAATAAAGTTAAATGAAAGTAATTCTTCAATAAAAAAATTAATTAATTAAAAGTTACTGATTAAATTGGATTATGAAATTAACAAAGTATTGACAAGAGTATTTTTCATCGGATTTTATTCATTTCTGTGTGGCCTGTTTCAACCCCTTTCTCTCCTCCCTCTTTTAAGGCAAGCCTGAAGCGGCATGTGAAAACCCACACTGTACTGTGGTACCTTTGGTGCAGCCTACTGTACACATTGCAGACAAAGACCCAATCCCTGAAGAGCAGGTAAGGGCAAAATGTTTTTTTTCCTGAAGAGGAATTTCACTTATAAAACTTACCTACCTTTTCTGGGGGGGCAGGGGGCGGGCTACAGGGTGTATGCGCTCCCCAGAGCAAGAGAGAAAGAGAAAGTAAGATCACCCTACTCCACTTTCCTCAGGATTTTGGGTGCACACACAAACATACACGCACGCATGCACGCACGCACATACACATGCCTTATGTAATTCTCAAGCTGCTGGGTCCAGGACTTGAACTGTGAAGCTGACATGTGGGATCTAGCACCTTAATCTCCATGCCACCTGCTGGCCACACCTACCTTTAAGCAGACATGGATAATTGTCAAATAACTTTTTTAATTTGTTTCTAATGAGCTTTAAAATGACGACCTAATGTATTGAACTTAAATCAGCTCATTAGTTCTTATTGTGTTGAGTTTGAAATGTTTATCTTGATCTGAGTACTAGTTACTGTAGTTATACATATATAAAAGTCCTATACACATAAGATTTATACAGTTGACTACATGTATGTTATATCCCAGTTGAAAATAATTTTTAGGTTTATTTGTTCCCTGAGGGTCAGAGATGCAGGCACCCTAACAGGGTCTTCACTCTGTGATACACAAGGTCTCAGCCAGCCTGGATTATGAGCATGTACACCCAGCGTGCTCATGAGTCTGTTCTAGGGGTCCAGTTGCATTATGACACATCACCACCTGGACCTGTAAAAAAACAGTTTTTTAATGATTTCAGTGATACTGACAAAGATTTCTTTTGCTTCTTGGTATATTGCTGATTTCTTTTCTTTCCTTTTTTTTTTTTTTTTTTTTTTTTTGCCAGAGGGTACATCCACTTGCCAGAGAGGGAGAAAGCACCCTTGAGTGGGAAGTGGCCACCCCACAATATCCTTGTCTCCATTTTTCCATCCTGTCAGGATTTTAGTCATGCACATATATGCACTCAGCGTATTTTTTAAGCCCCCAGGACTGGGTTTGAACCACAGTTGGCCATGTGGGAACTGGCTTCCTATGCTCAGGGCTTATCCACTCTGATACCCCAGGCCCTATTTGATATTCTTACTTGCTCATAGAAATCAACCCCAGTTAGTTTAATAGACTAATAACTTCTGCAAAACCACCAGAGCCAAATAAATCTATTAGATAGTTTATGGGGGCCAGCAGGTGGCACAGTGTTTGAGGGCGCTGGACTCCTACATCGCTGATTGCAGTGTGAGTCCCAGACCTGGCAGCTGGCTTTCTCCCTCCCCCTCCCCCCATGCTGTCTCTTTCTTGTCAAAATAAATAAAGTAATTCTTTTTAAACAATCTATTATATATCTTAGAGAATATTTCAAAGAATCAGCTAACCAGGCTTTACCAAGGCTGGGATAAAAACCCAAATCACTAAAAATAACTTCTCTGGGAGAGACGGCATTGCTAAGTCATTGGCAGACATTGACACTTGTTCTGTTAAGGCCAAATAGTAAAAGTTACCCAGAGAACCTCCACTTCTGAAAACTTGACCTGCCACTGTCCTTGACACAGTGGATTTCTCAAGGTTCAGGCTTCTGTTAATATGAGCTTTGGGGAGGCCACCAGATGGCATAGCAGTTATGTCGCTGGACTCCTGCATGGCCGACTGCAGCAGTTTGAGTCCAGATCTAGTGGGCTGAAAATCACACTAGGCACATGTGTGTGTATGCCCAAGATCCCAAGAGGAGAACAGAGGAGAAGGGATTATGGTGTGGCCATCCCCTTGGGGGTTGATTTCTCACTTTCCCTCCCTCTCATTGTCTGCCCCCACCCCGCACCCCCCTCCGCCCCCAGCAAGTGCATATGTCCTAAGGTAAAACCTCATTTAAAAAATAAATAAATTTTTATTATTTTATTTTAAATAAAATAATAAAATATAAGATATATAATATATACATATAAGCTTTGTATATACATATATATCTTAATAAATATATAAGCTTCTGAATCAGACCTGATGCAGGTATATCTGATTAGAGGATCCCAGGTCATTTGCCTAAACCTTAACTGTAAGACAGGCTAGGTAAGCAAGTGTCCTTCCCTTTATCTCACATATGAGGTGTTCCCCAATCCTAGGAAGTTTTCAAATTTCCTGAGTAGCCAGAAGAAACCACAAAAAGACTTAACATCTCTCACCACCTCCCCAAACAGCCAACCCTTCTTATTTTGATTGGTTTTGACATAGCAAATAACTAATCTTAATGAAGCCTATTGGATAATATTGGGGTAGAAAAATAACCATTGAGGGACCAGCAGTTAGCATAATGGTTATGTCACTGGACTCTCATGTAGTCAACCGCGGTTTGAGTCCCGGACCCAGTGGCTTAAACTCACGTCGAGTGCATGTGTGTGCATGCCCAAGATCCCAGGAGGAGAATGGAGGAGAAGGGATTGCAGTGTGGTCATCCCCCCTGGGGGGTGATTTCTTGCTTTCTGTCTCTCTCTGTCTTTCTGGCAAGTGCATGTGCCCTATAGCAAAAACCTCTTAAAAAAAAAAAAAAAGGAAGGAAGGAAGGAAGAAACAGAAAAGAAAAGAAAAGAAAAGAAAAATAACCATTTAAGTTGCTGAACTTTCTTATCCACACCCTTTTTAGTGTCAATTGTTAAGTTTGTTGGGGATTTTGATTTTTCTCTAGGTGTCTGTTTGCATTTTGCTTTGTTTTTCATTTTTGCACAACTGTGCCAAGAACAAGTCCTCATTTCTTAATGTGTAAGATGAGTAGGTGCAAGTAAGTGCCTGTACTAGAAAATTGTCTGCTTCAAGTAAAGTCCTTTTTTCCTTTTTTAATTCATTGTCAGGAATTAGAAGCTTATGTAGATGATATAGACATGGACAATGATTTCAGAACGGATGATTTTTATTACTTGTCTCAAGAAGACAAAGAGAGACAGAAGCGTGAGCATGAAGAATCCAAGAGGGTACTCCAAGAATTAAAATCTGTGCTGGGGTTCAAAGCTTCAGAAGCAGAGAGGCAGAAGTGGAAACAACTTCTCTTTAGTGATCATGGTAAGCACTGACCTCAGAATCAAAAGTTATTTCAGTGTAGGAGATTCTTTTTTTCTTGAACCATGAATCTTACTTTAGCTGTAGCATTCTTATGGCTTTAATTTTAAGGTTCTACCAGTAAGCATGGTGCCTTCTGTCCTAGGTGCAAAATCAGTTTGATCCATAAAGAGTAAGAGTGTAATCTCATTGAGAATATGAAATCACAGTTTTCATCAGTTATTGAATTTTTTAGGAAGTTTCTATGGAATGGCAAGGAGTTGAATAATTTGTAATATTTTAAATAAAGTATTATTTTCAAATATAGTGAATTTGTGATTCTAAATTCTGTTGTTTATATGTTAAAATACTAAAAAAATAATAATAATAATAACCCTCAGTGAAGCACAAAATGAATGCCTCTGTTCACTGTTGAAAAAAATGTCCTAAAATTTAGGCTACTTTGAGCACTTTAGTAGAGGGGAGAGGGAAGGTACTATTGTACACTGCACACACGCTGGTTTAGGCAAAATTGGATGACTGCTAATGCTGAAGCCTTAAACCCCTCTATGTTTCTCATCCTTTTACTCAATCACACTTCATGGGAAGTAGCGAAAGGAATGAGAAATTTGATGATTGATGGTGTCAGCCTAGCTAATTCTTAGTTGAATTAGTTCCTAAGGATTTCTAAGAAGATAGAGTAGCTATATGGACCCTAAAAATCAACAGCCTTTCTTCTCTTTTTTCACTAGGACTATGTAGATGATCTATACTTCTGGAAGGCTCCTCAAGGTTCTTTTTCCTTCTCTTTAGAGTCCTGCTACTCTCCTTATCCAGGTCTATATTTCTTGGATGATCTTTCCTCTTTCACTCTATTTGCTCCCTTTATAGCCCAGGTCATCACTGGAGTATGCTTGTACCTTACAGTTGACCCTAGCTTGGTTCCATTTTCATTACCTTTTTCTTCTATGCCATCTGGTAAGCTCTTTCTGTATTTTTTTTAAACGGTGCACAGTGACTCTATAAAATGTAGTGGCTCCCCCTTTTTTATTGTGTTAATCTGAACTCCTCTTCCTGGTTTCAAGCCTCTCCATCTTAAGAATCTATCATTTACAATTATATTTCTTATTATTTTAATGTAGATGTCTTCATCTACTTTCAGTTATCTAATCAAACTACATTTCCAAAAACTTACTATTTTTATATTAATGAGAAGAATTCCTAAAAATAGAATCCTGTCTTATCTACCAAGCTGTCCTCTCTCCTAGTCTCTCTTTCTCCATGAATCTTTCTCTGACTGTTCCAGCTCCCCATCCTTCCTACTATAGCAGACCTACACACTAGAGGGGCATGACAGTGAAATGTAAAGGAAGTCTTGAACAGCAAAGCGTATAGGAAAGAAGGGAAATAATTAAAACTTTTTAGAAGCAGCAGTGAAGGGAGTTCCTGTAATCTTTTGTTGGTATGTTAGGCCTACCTAAAGCAGAGATAAATAATGCTATGTTTTAGGCACTACTGTTTTCTAAGTGTTTCTTTTTTTTTTTCTTCTGTCTTCATAACTAAATCACAGTCTTCTTACATAGGGGCTTTATTATGTCCCAGTGCATTCATTAAGAAGTTTTCATGCCACAAGTAGTTATCAAAGGCCCGTTACGTGTCAGTCACTGTTTACTGCTGTATCCCTAGCACATAGATTGAGAGACAAAAATGCCTACCCTCTTAGAGGTTTATATTCTAACATACCTGTCAGTTGATCCTCCTGTTATTTATACAAATTTTATCCTCCTGCCGTTTAATTAGCAATAATCATGAATATAATTAACTTTCGATATATTTTGCATTCTTAAGAACTACTAGCAGATTTATAAACTGAAAATGTATGTAAGACTGAAAAGAGCCTTGTATGTAAATTTGAATCCTTTTTTATTAGTATTTTCTTCATATAGCTTTAAAATTATGCTGTTGATGTTATTGGCAAAGCTATATCAATGAGAATATGTCTCTTTTTCAGGTATGTGCTTTTGATACAGTTTGCATTTGTAAAGGCATAATGCTGTTTTAGTTTGTAAAAGTAACTAAAAAGCTGCTGATACCATAAAATGCTTTTCCCATGAAAAATTTCAGTACATCTTCCAGAGTTGTTTTCATCTCTGCCTACAGGGGTAAAGTCCGAATGGAATTAGAGAGGGAAATTCTACACTGGAACCTGCTGTGGCCATTTGTTTTCTGTTATGCTGCTTCTCTAGTGGAGTTACTGCAGCTTAGGGCTGTTTCTTGGAAATGGACACGTTTTACAAAAAATTTTTAAATACCTGCCAGATCTTCAAGAAGCACTTTTTTTTCCTTCCGTCATGCTTCATAAAATATTGTATTGTACTAACCCCTCATGCTGGGAGGAGAGACTGCCTAGCAAGCAACCCACTGCCTACTAACATCAAGAGGGGCTAAATAAAACTTCATTTTCCTTGCAAGGACAACTGCTGCCGTATGGATATATATATATATATTATATTTATGTTTTATATTTTGTACAGTAGTTGATCTTGAATGCAGATTTTATTTCATTTGTGTTTTTCTGTGGCACCACAAAATATATAGAAGGTATGGCTTGACCTCCATCAGGGTCTCACTAGGTAGTCGGCAAGTAAGTTCAATTGTGCATTGTATTTTTTTCTATGCTGTTTTTAACAGCGTGTTACTATGCTGTAAATATATACATTTATATGTTGAAGATGAGGGTATATCTAGATTTATTTTAGGGCTTTCATCTGATATATTATCAGTGAAAACCATGCTTATTCTTTAATATATTGGTTCTCAAACTTTAGTATACTTCAGCCTCAAGTGGAGGGCTTGTAAACCATAGTCTGATCCCCACTCCCAGAGTTTCCAGTTCAGGAGGTCTGGGAGTCAGCCCAAGAAACAGAATCCTTGGCAATGACTGATGCTAGTGGTTCAAGGACCACACTTTGAGAACTGCCTTAAACTTTGAATTAGATAATATGTGAGATCTTTTTAAAATCTTCATCAAATCCCCATCTTATTTCATTTCTTAGGCATTTTATCTCATAAAATTGCTTGGATTTATAAATTTACATTGATTTCACTATAAAGTTTTATTTTATTTTTAATTTTTTTTTTTTAAGGATAAAAACTACTGGGAGTTTAAAGTTTAAACCATTAATGGGTTGTTAGTTACTAGTTTTCTTTTTTCTTCCTTCCTTCCTTTCTTTTTTCTTTGAAGCTGTGTTGAAATCATTGTCTTCTGTAGACCCTGTGGAACCTTTAAGTAATTCAGAGCCATCAATGAATTCAGATATGGGAAAAGTTGGTAAAAATGATATTGAAGAGGAAAATAGTAAACCCTCCACCACTGACAATGAAATAAGTAGGACTGAGTATTTATGTGAAAACCCTTTAGAGGATAATAATAAAGACAATTCTGCAAATGAAGCCTTCCCCCAAGGAGCTCAAGAAGCAATGTGTTACCAATGCGAGAGTGAAGATGAATCTCAGCAGACAGATGGAGGTGGCCTGGCCACCACCCCTCCAACACCCAGGGACTCCATTAAGCAGAGGCTGGCACGGCTACAGCTGTCCCCAGAGTTCACCTTCACTGCTGGCCTTGCTGCAGAAGTGGCCGCTAGATCTCTCTCTTTTACTACCATGCAGGAACAGACTTTTGGCGATGAGGAGGAAGAACAAATAGAAGAAAACAATGATGAGGTAGAAGAAGAGTAAGAAACAAGATTCACATGAAGTGATTTTAGAGTGCTCCTTTTATGAAAGTGTTTTAGCTTCAAGGCTGGAAAGGGAAAATGAGTGTAAGTTTACTATATATAAAACTAAGATGTGAATTTACAGGAAGAACCCTGGTGTGAACAACTACTCTGAAACTAGTAGATACCTGTAAATGGCAGATCTTTTAGGAGAGTAAGAGAAAGGTAAGGGCTCTTTTGAATAAACTACTGCTTTATTTGTGGCACGACTGATCAATCTCGGAAATTCTTTACGTACTTTTAATAGGAAATGAATTTATCATTTTGTGCCAGAATTTGCTACCGTAAGGTGACTGGAACAATTCTCTTGCAAGAACATTAACTTTTAGTATGACTCCTTTTTACTGTATTCTTGCAGTTGATAACTGCGGCAATTATGTTAATAACGAGTTGTTTGTATTTTATTTTTGTTTATACCAGTCTGAACACAAAGATACAGGTTCTGAATAAAAAATAATTCCATTCATACAAGTGATGTGTGCTGGGCTTTGGAACTAAAAAGTAGTTTCAAAAGTTCTTGGGTTATGACATATTTCTTACCTTTCCTGGTTCCTGTGTATATTCAATAGTTAATTTTAAAATGTCCTATCATTTTAAGAATTGCCCTTTCAATTTTTGTTTATCACTTCTCTGTTCTTGTTACAACTAAAAGAGAGAATGTCAGGGGGATCCTTATAGTCCAAGGCCCCATTCCCAATTTAGCAGAAAGGGCTTTGTCTCGGTTTGCTTAGAGGTAATTGGGTACCATTAACACAAGGAGGTCACAGTGCTGCTGTTTTCTAGCTCTGTCCACTTAATGAGATTCAAGAAGCATCCAGTCAGTTCCTGGAAAGCATCCTTGGATACTCAGTACTTCATTTACAAACTACCTCTGAAAGAGACTGCTTTCCAGATTTGCCAGTCTTCCCTGTTTTGTGTAGTGACTGCATTTTCAAAGAATGATATTTTCAGGAGCAGACCACTTTCCAAACTTTAGCTTATATGCACTGACATAGTTTATAGACATTATTTGGAAGAGATGTAGAAATAAGCTCATTTTATGCTATTATCCTAGAATGGAAATGACATAATGAATCTGAATCTTTAATTTTCAGAAACACATTCGAAACTCCTGTAACTTAGTACTTTTTTGAGTAAATTTACTTAGACTAAAGAGGATTTTTTTTTCCTTTTCTCTAAGAAATTTTATTTTCTCCTAAAGAAAACAAGCTGCTGCTTTATCTAAATAGCAGATATTCTTTGTATTGTATCTTTTTAAAAATTTTACCTTTTGCCAAAATTCTGGGGCTTCTCCATAATAAACCTCTTAGGAGCAGCGTCTTAGGTTGGACTTAGCCTTGCCACTTAAAAATAGCCAAACTTCAGGAAAAAAAAATCTTATGTTGTAACCAACTATTAATAGCCTTAAATAATGGTATTTAGGATTTGTTTTCTCATTGAAATAAGTTTTTCAGCTTTATTTTTATTTGGAATTTTAAAAAAGCAATTATGGAAAAATTTGTAATCTCTCTTTTAACTGGTTACCTTACTGAGGAAGAATTAGAGCTTAATTCTTTTGCCTTTTTTTTTTTTTTTTTGAGAGAGATTTTTGTTATAGGACACGTGTGCTTGCCAGAGAGACAAGAGACAGAAAGTGAGAAATCCCGCCCAGAAGGATGGCCACACTGCAGTCCCTTCTCCATTTTCCTCTCTGGATTTTCAGGCATGCACACACACGTGCCCAGCGTGAGCTTCAAATTGCCAGTCTGGGACTCAAACTATGGTTAGCCACAGGTGAGTTCAGCACCTTAACTACTACGCCACCTGCTGGCCCTCCTATATTACATTCTTACTATACTAGTTTAAGAGAAATAACTCCATGTTACTGTATCTAGTTTATTCAATGTTCTCTGAGGTAATACTTTTTAATTTTGAAGTACTAAATAATGTTAATCAAGAATTCCCAATCTTACAGTCTGATCTGTTTCATTCACTACCTGCTACTTCCATGAAAAGTCTTACTTGCTGGAATTATGATATTAGGATTTTGGAACTTTAATTGAATGTTTTTTTCAAATGCACGCACATGTCCCTGCCGTGAGTTTTTAGCTGCCAGGTTCAGGATTCAAACTGCTGTTGATTACATGAGAGTTCAGTGATGTAACCATTACGCCATCTGCTGGTCTCCCTCAAGTTTGAATTCTTAAGTTATTTGGAGAAACACATTTAAGGCAAATTACTAAGGAAAATTAAAAGTACAGATTTAAGAGGTCAATACAAAAAGAATAACTAGAGTTTAAATCCCAGAATTTTCATTTAAAAGCTGTGAGTACGGCTGATTTTAAAATGTTGAGGTGAGTTTTTCCGGCAAAACCCAAATTCTGTGAAATTACTAAATGATATTTGTGATTTCTTACTTCTCAGAATTAGTTAAAAATTTTTAAAAATTGTTGCTAAAACACAGGATTAACATAATACAAGGTGTAAAGCTTTAATATTAAATTATTAGAAGAATCAACAATTCTTCCAAACTGTAAGTGAATGGAGTATTAGTCAGAAGAGATCCTAGCACTCATTTCATTCTGGTGATTTCCAACTCTTCCCACCAATAATACTAAATATGAACTATTTAGATAGATCATAACAGATCAGATGGGAAGAAAAGTTCAACTGAGTTGGCTTAATCATAGTATATGTTTTCTATACCCAATCAAAACAAGGAAACGAGAACTAAGTATCGTAAGATTCTGGTATGGCTCAGCTAAAGCGTTGTTTGAAATAGAGTAGATATCATTGCCAGGAATGAAAACCAGACAAAGCATAAAGTACAATTTATTTTTCCAGTTCTCCTTATAAGAACATATCTAGGTATTTCATACTTACATTTAAAAATGAAGGTGCAAATATTTTCGAAAATATTTTTTAAAATGCCTGGGACCAGCAGGTGTTATAGTGGTTAAGGTGCTGGATTCTTATATGGCTGACTGCAGTTCCAGTCCTGGATCCAGCGGCTTGAAAATCATGTCAGCTGCATGTGTGTGCATGCCCAAAATCCCAGGAGGAGAATGGAGGAGAAAGGATTGTGGTATGGCCATCCCCCCCCGGGGGTGATGTCTCACTTTTCCTCTCTCTGTGTTTCTCTCTCTCTCTGTTTCCAGAAAGCACATGTGCCTTATGGCAAAGAAAAGCCCAACTACAGTGACAGTTCATTTATCTGTCATTGTCAACAGGTGATTAACTTGGTTTAGTAATTTTTCAACTGAGCAAAACGATTTTATCATTAAGTTTTACAGTTTAATAGCTAAATGAACTTTGCACTTTTTCTACAGTATATAATTTAACTTTTTCTTTGTCCTCTCTAAGAACATCAGTTCCTCTCGTAGGGTGATGAGCAGAAGTGCACCCTTGCTGCGCAGCTGTGTGCCTCTTCACTCTCTGACTTCACGTTGCTATGCTGGTTGAGTCGTGTCTGTTTTTCAGTTTCTCTGTCTTCCCTTATAATCAGCTGTCCCTTTTGCCACTGTCTTGTGTGCCTGCCTCCTGCCATATGCCCCTAAGTCACTGCTTCTAGTCTGCTGGGAACTGAGAAACCAGATGGCCAAACTCGCTAGAACTGGGTCTAAAACATAAGTAAGTAGATCGAAAGAAGAGTAAGGGTTGTCTCCATCAGTTTCTGGAAGTATCTGGTCTAATATGTGATTTCCATATATTTGAAGTATTAATTTAGCTTTTATATATGTTGATGTTTCTAGGACTCTCCATTAATGAATTCAACTGTAAAAGAAAAATTGAATTATCGTTTTTGTAAAAAACATTGTGTATATTCAGGAAAATGTTATTTTCTTGTCATTTTGTTCTCAGCTGTGTAGTACAGTACACAGATTTGAAATTTGCAGTGTTATAAGTATAACTTCCACTATGTTTGCCAAGACTTTCTTCTAGAACTGTTGGTCTGAGATTAAACATAGCTAATTCAGTAAGAATTCCAATATTTGAGGAATGAGTCAAACTAGATATCCCAGTTTTCTGTAGAGCTTGAACCTCTTTCTTTACTTTTTTTTTTTTTTTTTTTTTTAGTTTTTTGCAGTAGGGTGCTTGTGCTTGCCAGAGACAAAGAGAAAAAGTGAGAAATCACTCCCAGGGGAGATGGGATGTGGCCACACCACAATCTCTTCTCCATTCTCTTCCTGGGATCTGGGATTTGGGGTATGCATCATACACACCCAATGTGAACTTCAGGCTACCAGGTCCAAGACTCGAACTACAGTCAGCCATGTGGGAGTCCAGTACCTTAACCACCATGTCACCCACCAGCCCCAAATCTCTTTCAACATTACATTTTTTTGGAATAATTTCTGAAGGAAACTTTTTTTTTTTTTTTTTGGAGAGATTTTCACTGTAGGGCGCGTTGCGCTCGCCAGACAGACAGAGACATAGAGACAGAAAGCGAGAAATCACCCCCCAGGAGGGATGGTCACGCCGCAATCCCTTCTCCTCTCGGGATCTTGGGCACGCACGCACACACACCCGGCATGAGTTTTAAGCCACCGGGTCTGGGACGCGAACCACGGTCGACTACGTGGGAGTCCAGCAACATAGCCATTATGCTAACTGCTGGTTCCCTGATCTGCTTTGGTTTTAGAGAGCAAATGAAGTGTGTTAGAAGGACGTAAAAAATAAGACTAAATAGACTCTAGATGAAAATCTGAAGAGTGGATTGTGCTTATTTAAGTACATGGGTTTTGTGCCATCTACTGTCTGTTTGATTACTCTTCAAAATAAGTGAAGTTACTTGATTAGATCTCTGTTCTCAAAATACAAGAAGTGTTATTGTACAAAAGGAACCACTTCGTTTTTATACTTCACTGTCTCTGAAGTTGATTCTATACTATAATTCTGTGGCTCTAATTAAAATAAACCCACTCTTGTTAGCATCTTCTATAGCATTTTCTATTTGAACTGGATACCACATGCTATTAAGAATTTGTTTGGCAGGTCAGCAGGTGGCATGGAGGTTAAAGGCAGTTGGATCCCACATGGCCAATTGCATAGTTCAGACCCAGTTGCTTTTAAAAACACACCAGACATGTATGTATACCTGCCCAAAAGCCCTAGAGAAGAATGAAAGAAAGGGATTGTAGCATGGTCATCCCCCTGTGAGGTGACTTCTCACTTTCCCACTTTCCCTATCCGGTGAGTGCATGCATCCTATAGCAAAAAAAAAGGGGGGGGCGGGGGATTTTTTAGGCTTTTATTTTTATTTTAGGTAAGTGTATCTTCATTTCCAAGACATGAAGTAGATTGAGCTCTGAAAAATAAGAAAATATTCATTATTTATATCACAGCAATCTAAGAAATAAGATTTACAGATTAGGCAATTACATAAAAATATATATATTTTTTGATATACCACTTATGCTCTCTTTTTTTGGTTTCTTTTCATTTACCAGAAAGCATGTGTGCTCACCAGAGAGACAGAGTAGGGGGAAGTGAGAAAGCATCCCCCAACAGGTCATGGTAACATCACAATCCCTTCTCACCCACCTCTCTCCACTCTCAGAATTTTGTGTACACACACACATATACCCAACATGTTTTTTTCAAGGTGCCAGGTTCAGGACTTGAACAATGCAGTCAGCCATGTGAGATCCAGCTATCCTAACTACCACACTACTGGCTGACCTGAATATGTGGCTTTCTTTTTTAAGAAGTATTTTATTAACTTTATTTATTTGCTCATTTATTTATTTAAATTTGACTAGAGAGGGACAGAGTGAGAGGGGGGAGGAAAGTGAGAAACTAAGCGACCAGGTCCAGGATTTGAACTGTGATTGGCCAAGTGGAAGTCCAGCACCTAAACCACCACACCACCTGCCAGCCCCCTGAATATGTTATTTTCTAAAACAATATATTTATTTTAATTTAACTGAACAAAATGTATTTGTTTGTTTGTTTGCCAGAAGGCATGTGCACTTGCAAGAGAGAGACACAGAGAGAGAGAGAGGACAGTGAGAAACCCCCTACCACCACCAGTGGGAAGTGGTCACTTCACAATACCTTCTCCTGCATCTTTTTTCCTTTCAGGCTCAGGGCACATAAATACATTCTCCAGCATGCTTCTCCAGCCACTGGGTCCTGGACTTGAATTATGCAGTGGGCACCATAAGATTCAACTGCCATATCTACCATGCCACGCACTGGCCCAAGAGATATTTAGATGCCAATTTGGCGCATTTAAATTATCATTTAGTTTGTTAGATAATCCAACAGGATGACTTGTTTCTCAAATTACAGATATGAAATTTGCATATTTTAATATTTACAAGCTAAATTTAAATCTGCTAGAAATGGATTTACTAGCATTGAACAACTTATTTTTACCAATATGCTGATTATTTTCAGTAACCATTTGCTGATTCATGTGTCCATCACATACAGCATGATTGGAAACTGATCTGTTTATCTTATGGCCTTGCCTCATCAGTTTTCAGTTATCCATGTTACTAGAAGGGATCTGTGATATAGTGATTATAAAGAATAGGTGATCTACACCATTTTCTTGAGTCAAGACTGCCATTACAGAGGAAATAGTGATGACACCAAACCCATTTTGCTGGTATAAGAAGAAAACATCTCTTTGCATGTAGCTGTGAGAGGAAAGCAATTTTACTCTTTGTAATTGCTATAAAACAGAAGAGGATGAATTGCTTTCAGGATTCACACATGTAAAATTTTAACATGAATGAAAGGAAGAACGAGTTGATGGATATCTAAAATGTGTTATAAATTTCAATGTATATGCTGTTTGTTTGTTTGTTTTTTAAATTGGCAGAAGGTACATGTGTTCATCAGAAAGAGAGAGAAAGAGAGCAAGAAAGAGAACCCCTGCAATGAGGCTGGGTCACACTACAATCCTTTCCTTCCATTTCTCCATGCTGTCAGTATTTGGGCACACACACATGTGGGCTCAGCATGTTCGTGGGTTTTTTTGTTTTGTTTTGTTTTGTTTTGTTTCTCAAGCTGCTGGGGCCAGGATTTGAACCACAGTTAGTTATGTGGGATCTGGCTCCCTTAGCTACTGTGCTAGGGAGCCAGCCCTGCATGTGCTATTTTTAAAATGCTGTACATTTTCATATATGTTAGCCTATCAGCAGTGAAACTAGTTCTTAATCTCAATGTACTGAATTTCATTTAGCAACATGTTTTGCAATAGAACAGTATTTAAGTTGTGTATACTTTGACTACACTATCTATAAAAACAAGTATATTCAATACACCAGCTGGCATGGTGGTTAAATGCTGGATCCCACATGGTCAACTCCACAGTTCGAGTCCTGGATCCAGTGGCTTGAAAAACATGCCGGGTACATGTGAGTACATGCCCAAAATCCCAAGAGGGGAATGGAGAAGGGATTGTGGTGTGACCGACTGCCCAAGAGGAGAATGGAGAAGGGATTGTGGTGTGACCGACCACCCTGGGGGGTGATTTCTTACTTTCTCTCTCTCTCCAGCAAGTGCACATGCTCTATGGTAAATATCTAAAAAGAAGAGGATCAAAGGGTATATTCAGTGAGATATAGTTGTAGAAATACATATTTTCTCATATTTATATCTTGAGTTTCTTAAAGTAAGGATAATTTTACAACTGTATGTTTCATGTTTTTCACTCTTAGAACATTTTCTAAAGGTTGACTAAACATCTATTGAACATTTTTTTCTAAAACTAAAGTATAACTTTTTCAGGTTTACTCCTTTATAGTATCCTAAACAATGATATACCCTTTTCTCCTTTGCAAATAAATTTTTAAGGAAGTTAACTCCATTTCTAAATCCATATTTTCTGTACATTTACTGTACCAGTCTGTACCTTGGTTTATCCTATGACTTGATGCTTACTCATACTCAGTCCTGGCATCTGACAGCGTACAAAGGCTCCAGAAAGTCACTCCTGTCCCTTAAAGGTTGGCATGTGGTCCTGGTACAGCCCTGGAGGTCCGAATGGGTGAAAAGCCCAGAAGTCGACCTGAGCTGAAAGCACTCCCAAGGAGTTTGGTTTTGTTTGGGTTTGTTCTAGGTATGGTCCCAGGGATCCCAGATCAAACCAGGCCCCTGGGCCTATCCTAGAACCAACCTAAACTCGCGCATCATTCCTGGAACATCGCGAGTGTGAAGACTGAAGATAACCTGAGTTGACCAGACATCTTACGTTCACCAGGAGTCTTTGTTTTTAATGTGCGCCTACATTTTAGCAAGAATTGGTTGGTTAATCCTTCTGAAATCACAGAGTTGTGAAGATATCTTGGTAACAAGATAAAGCCTTCCCAGACCTTGACATTATAATAGTTTCTCAGAATAGAAATTCTGTTTGGTTATTGTTAGTTGCCAGTAAGGAGAGTTGTTTTTGTGACTTTCATTATCAGATCTCTATTTTTAGCTAAAGTAACCTAGCCACAAAAACAGAAAATTAACCCTTCCCCAGAATAAGCCCTCCCCCAACAATGGTTTCTGTTTTCTTAAACAATTTCTACTTGGGACCAGCAGTTGGTGTAATGGCTATGTCGCTGGACTCGCATGTAGTCGACTGTGGTTCAAGTCCCGGACCTAGTGGCTTAAACTCACACGGCGCATTTGTGTGCATGCCCGAGATCCCAAGAGGAGAATGGAGAAGGGCTTGCGGGGTGGCCATCCCCCTGGGTGGTGATTTCTCGCTTCCTGTCTCTGTCTCTGTTTCTCTCTCTCTCTGTCTTTCTGGCAAGTGCACACGCCCTATAGCAAAAACCTCTCCAAAAAAAAAAAATTCTACTTAATATTGTATCATCTCCTTTAACTGAATAGTTGTTCACGGTCTGAAGGGCATTATGTTTTAGCCTACTGTCTCCAAAGTGAAGTGATTTTTAAACTCTTGTTTTTAAAAATGAATGCCTTTTTCTTTTCATCTATTTTTGACCTGCCAAATTTTAGAACTCGCTTGTAGGGGTTCTGCTATGGTTAATGAAAACAAGCTAGGATGATGTAGTAGAAATGAGTTCATACCTCACATTTTACGTCAGTATTTTACAGAAGAGTTTCAGTATTTTGTTCCTTACTGCCATGGATTTTTAAAATATTCTGACTTAGCTTATTCAACACAGGGTCTCATATCATAACTGAGGCATCGTAGTCACATGCATATTTTCCTGTTCAGTTTGTGAGGCAGGGTTTCTGAGAAGGCATGAAAGGACCCCAAATCCAAAAGTAGTGGTGCACAATGAAAACAGTTTTTTGGTAATGCTGGGGTTTGCAGAGGTTTAGACTGGAAGTAACTGCATACTCATCAGTAACTGCAAATGTGGAAAGAACTCCAGATCATGCTATTTGTCTAAGCCTAATCACACCAGCATCACTGAGTCGGGTTATCCTTTAAAGTAAGACAGTGAGCCTATTAGGGCTCACTCTGAAGAGTTCACTCGTAGAGTTAGTTTCTCACTATTGCTATATTCATCTCCCAGATGCTTCATCCCATAGATTCCCTTTGTTTGCTTGTTTTGTTTTTGTTTTGATTTTTTGGGGGGAGGGGGGCCATAAGGTGCATGCACTTGCCAGAGAGATATAGGGAGGGTGAAAGTGAGAAATCACCTCCTGTGGGGGATGGCTATCCTGTAGTCCCTTCTCTGTTCTCCTCTTGGGATTTTGGGCACACACACACACACACACACACACATCATTCTTAAGCCACCAGGTCTGGGAATCGAACTGTGTTCAGCCATGTGGGAGTCCAGCACCTCAACCATCACGCCACCTGCTGGCCCCTAGATTCCATTCTTTCTGTCTTTTAACCTTACAGTGTTCACTCTTCCCTTCCACTGTGCTCCCTGCTGCAGTTTTCCTGTGTCAGTGCACTTACCTAGGAGCACAGTTAACTGTATTTCTTACCATAGCCTGTGAGTGAGGCCGCCTGAGAGTGTATGTAGTATGTGTTCTCAGTATTTTGCAAGCATTTATATCTCTTTTAACATTGTTAATTATGAACACTGAAAACAGGAGTTTGTGGACTATTTAAAAACTGAAGGCTTGTTTACATGGTAAGTATTTTAAAATCTGCCTTCCATTCAGATGCTTTTTGGAGTGTAAATATATTTTTTAAATTATCATTGGAGAATATGCTCTCAGATATCAATGTTTACATTTTGATCACTTGTGTTTTATATATTAGAACTATACATTTCCTACCCTGCCTAAAGACTGGAGATTATAACTTTTGGGGGAGAGACGTGTGTGTGTGTGTGTGTGTGTGTGTGTGTACTTTTTTTTTTACTGACTTTAAAAAACATATAACAAATGTACTGCCTTGATCATTTATTTAGAATTATTTTATTTAATTTCACTTATTATTTTTTAATTTGACCAGACAGAGAGGAAAAGTAAGAAAGAAAGCCACCAGGTCTGAGACTCAGACCATGGTTAGACATGTGGGAGCCCCACACCTTAATCACTACACCACCTGCCGGCCTGTCTTAACCATCTATTTTATTTTTTTAAGGGAGATTTTTGCTATAGGGTGTATGTACTTGCCAGAGAGACATAGAGACAGAAAGCAAGAAGTCATCCCCCAAGGGGGATGGCCATGTCCGATCCTTCTCCTCCATTCTCCTCTTGGGATCTTGGGCACTCACGCACACATGCCCAGCATTAGGCTTAAGCCACTGGGTCCAGGACTCGAACTACGTGGGAGTCCAGTGATATAACCATTATGTCATCTGCTGGTCCCTGTCTTAACCATTTTTAAGTGTAGAGTTCAGGTATAAGATTAGGGATATTCACATTGTGAAACAGATCTCCAGGACTTTTCCAGCTTATAAATATGAAACTGTATACATTTTCCAGCTCCCATTCCCCATCCCTACAGCCCCTGGCAGCCACCAGGCTTTCTGTTTCTATGAACTTGACTACTTTAGATACCTCACGTGACTGAAATCGCAGTGTTTGCCTTTTTGTAACGGACTTATTTACCTAATACAATGTCCTCAAAGTTCATCCATGTTGTAGCATGTGACAAGATTTCCCTCCTTTTAAGAGTGACTAGCCCTCATAGCACACGTTTACCACATTTTGTGATCCAGTCATCTTTGGTGGACATTTGGGTTGCTTCCACCTCTTGCCTATGGTGAATAATGCTGCTATGAACATGCGTACGCAAATATCTATAACATTTTAAGCATGGTACTTTGGTCGCTTTCTGTATTTTTATCATGATGGATTTTTGTCAACTATTTTAAAGGATTTTGCAACAACCCAACTGTAGGCTTGTGTATGTCTATATTGTTGTTCCTCCTAAGCTGGAAAGTCTCTAATAAAATCTATGCTTCCTTATATCTTTAGTGTGTGCTTTATTCTGCTGTTGGCAAATTAGATTATATCCAGAAATTAAAAATCTTTTTTTATTTTTTGAGAAGTTTTAGCTATAGGGCCCGTGCACTAGCCAGAAAGACAGAGACAGAGAGACAGAAAGTGATAAATCACCCTCCCCAGGGGGGATGGCCATGCCGCACTCTCTTCTCCATTCTCCTCTTGGGATCTTGGGCACGCATGCACGCACGCACGCATGCACAGGCACCAAGCATGAGTTTAAGCCACTGGGTCCCAGACTCAAACCACAATCGACTACATAGGAGTCCAGTGACATAGCCATTACGCCAACTGCTGATCCCAGAAGATAAAAATCTTTTTTGTCTTCCTTTGCCTATTTTCTTCTATTGTAGTATTTTTCAGAATTTGTTAATACACACAAATAAAACAGCAGTTGTCTGGAAAAGACTGATTTGTTAGTCAAGTTTCATTTTGTTCATTTAAGTGCCTCATGATTTTTTTAAGTGTTTTTTTTTTTCTTGCTATGAAGACACATGTGCTCATCAGAGAGAGAGAGAGAAAGTGAAAAATAACATCCTCATGGGGTTGGCCATGCTGCAATCCCTTCTCCTCCAGCCTCCTCTCAGGATTTCAGGCACTCATGCACAGGTGCCTGGCACAACTTCCAAGCCACTGGGTCCAGGGCTCAAACTGTGGAGTCGGCCACGTGGGATCCAGACCCTTAACCTGCACATCACCTGCTGCCCCACCTTGCATGATAAATTATCAGTGCAAACAGTGGTTTAACAGTTCTATTTTCACCGTTCCATGACTGTTAGCCATTAGATACAGTCTAAGCATGTTATATTTGTTAAGGTATATGACCTCCCTGACAAAAAAGACATACCCCAAGAAGGAAGTTATCCAGTGGATCATATTGTGGTGAGTTGGTTGAATGAATTGAGTTACTGGTTTGGACCTTTCTAGGCTTAACTGCACTCTTCGGAGCTTTTGTGGCAACTCCAAAATGGCTCTGTAGACTAAACGCTATTCAAAGTGGCTTTCCTTGAACTGGACTTGTAAGTATTGTAAATAAGCCACTTCTTTCCAGAAAAGATTTGAGGCGAGGAGTAAATATCTGTCAAGGTGACTGTAGGAACTTGACCCTTGTCCAGGTATTTCTAATTAAAGTGTGAGGTAAGGTAGAATGTGTGTAGTTACCGGATTCTGAAGTCACTGGGCAGGAAATATCCCATCTGGTAATCTTTCCTCGTCTTCACAATTTGCTTTTGAAGGTCATTAATCGATGTACTATAACCATTGAAAATAAAGTTGGCAAATAGTAATTTCCCCCGAATGTACATCTGTAAAGTTAATGGAATATTTTCAGAATTTGGTCATAAGAAAAGTAGTCCTCTCTATCTGAAGGAAGATTTTTCAAATGCATTCCTGTGAGAACCTTGTGTATATACTAGAAGAAATCGGGCTTGTTGGTTTTCCTCAGTCACATGCAAAGTGGCAAAGCCATATCCTAATAAATGCTAAAAGGGACCGACAGGTGTCCTTGATCATTACATAAGTTGGCTGTCCATACATTTCGTTTTACAGCTCATCCCTAGGTGGTCCCCAGCCTTTTTTGGCACCAGAGACCGGTTTTGTGGAAGACAGCTTTTCCAGGGACCAGGGGATGGAGAGATGATTTCAGGATTCAAGTGCTTTTCATTTACTGAGTGCTGTATTTCTATTATTAATACACTGTACTATGTAATGAAGTAATGGGACAGCTCACCATAATGCAGTGTGTGCAGCCACTATCCAGGGCCGGCATCACTGCCTCTGCTTCACCTCAGGTCATCAGGGACTGGATTCTCCTAAGGAGCCTAAACCTGGATCCCGCAGTTAACAGTAGGGTTCGTACTCCTATGAGAATCAAATGCTGGGAACCAGCAGTTAGTGTAATGGCTATGTCGCTGGACTCCCACGTAGTCGACCGCGGTTCGTGTCCCGGACCCGGTGGCTTAAAACTCACTCCGGGCGCGTGTGCGTGAGTGCCCAAGATCCTGAGAGGAGAATGGAGGAGAAGGGATTGCGGCGTGACCATCCCCCCTGGGGGGTGATTTCTCGCTTTCTGTCTCTATGTCTCTGTCTGTCTGGCGAGCGCACACGATCTGACGGGAGGCGGGGTCCAGGCGGTAATGTGAGCAGAGCAATGGGGAGCAGCTGTAAATAGATCAAACTTGCTGCTCATCCACTGCTCACCTGCTGTGAGGCCCAGCTCCTAGCAGGCCCAGATTGGTACCAGTCCGTGGCCTGAGGGTTGGGGACCTCTGCTCTAGACGACAGTACTGAAGCTTTTAGATCCAAATCTAGGCAAAACTACTTCTCAGGACTCAGGCAAATTATTTAACCATGTTGAGCCACATTCTTCTGTAAGAAAAACAAGATTTATGAATTGGACTAGACCTTTAAAAGTTTCTTCTATTTCTAAAATCCTTGTTTCTTTCTTTTCTCCTTTTGTGACAGAGATCACATGAATATGCACACGACAGGGAAAAGCATCCTCAGCAGGGTCTTGTCACACAGCGGTCCCCTTTTACTAGCACTCCAGTCCCTCAGGGCCCCAGTGCTGGGGGACTGTCAGCACTGTTACCACTGAGCCACAGTGGCTGGGCTTGCTTCTCATTCTCTTTTTTTGTTTTAATTTGCAAAAGGGCACATGCACTCACTAGAGGCAAGAGACAGAGAGAGGGAAAGGTGAGAAAGACCCCCCCATAGCAGATGGTCACGCCACAATCCCTTCTCAGTCTTGCCGCCTTTTGGGGATTTTGGACATGCCCATATACACATCCAATGTGTTTTTCAAGCTACCAGGTCTGGGACTTGAACTGTGGAGTCAGCCCTGTAGGATATAGCTGTCTAAACCACCATGCAATGAACAGGCCCTCTATTCTTATTTTTGGAGAGACAGCAAGAAATCACCCCCGGCAGGGGGTTGGGGGCAGTCATGTTGCAATCCCTTCTCCTTCCTCCTCTCAGGATTTTGGGTATGCACACAAATTCATCTGGCATGAGTTTTAGGTCCGGGACTCTAACCGCAGTCAGCCATGGGGAAGTCCAGCACCTTAACCACTGCACCACCTCCTGATCCCATGCTGACCTTCTCTTTCTAAAAAGAGAAAACTACTGTGTAAGGCCAAGTTTGACATTCTGTCCTAAGGTGTAAGAGCTTATTTTGAGGCAGTGAACAGTTTGATAATATTCAACTTTTAAAGATTAGAAAGAAAGGATAAGAAAATATAGTAGGTGAGATAGTAGTTTAAAAAAAAAAAGTGTAGCTGATTTCAGCACAGAACTTAATGCTGTTAAAATCAAAGTACACCTAGTGGGGATGGCAGGTGACATGGTGGTTAAGGGTACTGGCCTCCCACATGGCCAACCATGGTTTGAGTCCCGAACCTGGCAGCTTGCTTTCTCACTTTCCCTCTTCTCTCTTGCTGTCTCTTTCTGGTCAAATTAAAAATGATAAAGAAAATAAAGGTAATCAAATAATTTTAAAATAATTTTTAATTAAAAATAAGTACACCCAGTATCTTTAAGCAGCCTAACAACTAAAAAAGTGTAGCTGATTCCAGCACAGAACTTAATACTGCTAAAATCAAAGTACACCTAGTACCTTTACTTTTTTTTTTTTTGAGAGAGAGAGGTTTTTGCTATAGGGTGCATGTGCTCACCAGACAGGCAGAGAGAGACAGAGAGACAGAAAGCGAGAAATCACCCCCCAGAAGGGCTGGCCATGCCACAATCCCTTCTCCTCCATTCTCCTCTCAGGATCTTGGGCATGCACGCACACATGCCCGGCGTGATTTTAAGCCACCGGGTCCAGGACACGAACTGCAATCGACTACATGGGAGTCCAGCGACATAGCCATTACACTAACTGCTGGTCCCTACCTAGTATCTTTAAACAACCCAACAAAGGTTCTTAGAAGGGAAGTGTGAATTCAAAGGAAACGACAGTTCCCTATAGTTTATGCATTGTTCCTTTCCCCTTAGGTAGGATAATCTCATCATGAAAGGATGTCCTATTATGGGGTTTTCTATGGCGATAGAATTTTCTGGTTTATCTTCATATCTGCAACAAAAGAATCCATCTCATTTCATATTTAGGGCCAGCCACATAGCCAGTGCTGGCTGAAGTGGAATTCTACATATTCCTTGATCTGAAATACTCTGTTCTTTAGTTCCCATGTGTGGAGTTTAGCCATGAAGCCATTTATCTTGTGTGAACTTAGAAGATGAAACTATGCTCTATGGATAGTGATGGCCAATGACAAGGTTATAATACAACATGTATATGTGACTGGTAAGATCAGAAGAACTCAATAGTGAGTATTTCTAGACACATAAGACAGACCTTTCGGGACCAGCAGGTGGCATGGTGGTTAAGGCGCTGGACACTCCCACATGGCCGACCATGGTTCGAGTCCTGGACCTGGTGGCTTGGTTTCTCACTTTCTCCCTCTCTCCCTCTGTCTCTCTCTCTGGTCAAAATGAATGAATGAATAAATAAAATTAAAAAATAATTATAAATAAATAAATAAAGATTTTAATCATTAGTGAAAAAAAGAAAGACCTTTCAGCCAGTTTTTTCTTCCTCACAATGAATGTGAAGTACAAGTTGGGCCAGCTGGTGGCATGGTGATTAAAGTGGCTGAATTCCACATGGCTGACCCCACCGTTCAAGTTTTTCAAGCCCAGATTCTGCAGCTTGAAAAAAGACACTGGGCATGTGTGTGTGTGTGTGTGTGTGTGTGTGTACCCGGGAGAAAGAAATAAAGGAGGGATTTGGTGTAGCCATCCCCTCGAGAGTACTTTCTCATTTCTCTCTCTAGCAAGTGCACATGCCTTCTGATTGAGAATGTTTCATTCTTATTTGGAGCTTATATTCACACATTTGAAGAAAGCATTCCATTCTGTGTCTATTCAAGCTATCACCTCATAGGCCTAACTTGGGCCTAGAGAAACGGGTAGGGTGGCTGTGTTCAATTCTTACAGGAATAATTTTATCTTAATACAGAGAAATGTTAGATTGCAGTAAAGAAACAAACAAAACCCCTTAGGTTTCAGATTGTCGCAGAGGCCAGGCTATGACCACACCCAGTACCAAAACTCTAATTGTTTTCTTTTATTTTGTATTTATTCATTCATTTATTTATTTTTTAATTTGACCAGAGAGAGACAGAGGGTGAGAGTGAGAGAGAGGGGAAGTGAGAAAGCAAGCCATCGGATTCAGGACTCGAACCCTGGTTGGCCATGTGGGAGTGTCCAGCGCCTTAACCACCACACCACCTGCTGGTCCCTCTAATTGTTTTCTTAATGATGTGTTGAGTTTCAATTTCAGGTGAACTTCAAAATCTCAAAACCCGGAATAATCTAACCCAGAGATTTTTAGCCTTTTAACAACCAGGAGCCCAGATACTGTTGTCACCATGGGCTCCATGATTTGAAAGGGTTTTATCTACCACAAACTATATAGTCATTTAAAAAAGCTATAATTTGTGAGGCTGGCAGGTGGCGTAGTGGTTAAAGGTGCTGGGCTCTTTCATGACCAACCATGGTTCAAGTCCTGGACCTGGTGGCTTGCTTTCTCACATTCTCTCTCTGATCAAACTGGAGAATAATAATAATAAATAAATAAAGTTAAATAAAATAATTCTTTTTTTTAAAAAAATCTATCATTTGCATTTATGTGTGCATACACACACATACACACTGCTTTTTTTTCCCAATTAACTGAAGTCTTAATGGCCACTCAGTTTAGGTATGTGCTGGATTCTAGGTATTGTTTTCAGCGCGAAAGACAGAACAAAGGTTCTGTCGCTACTGAATACTAAAGGGGAGAGTTAGACAATAAATACATAGTAGAAGTCAGGGGATGGTAAATGCTATACAGAAAATAAGACCAAAAAGCAGCGATGTGGAAGATGAAGAATCCTTTTTATGGAGGGTGGTCATTTGTGAGGGAGAGGACCAGCCCTACAAACACCAGGAAGAAGTGTGTACTCCCCCCTTACATGCACGGATACACCCCAAGACCTCCAGGGGAAACTGTAGATAGAACCAAGCCCTATGCTCACTATGCTTTTCCCTGTGCATACACATGTATGATAAAGTTTAATTTATAAATTAGAGGGCCAGGAGGTGGCATGGAGATTAAGGCACTGAATCTCACATGGCTGGCTTCTTGGTTCAAGTCCTGGACCCGGCAACTTGAAAATCATTCCAGGCATGTGTACATGCATGCCCCCAATCCAAAGAGAATGGAGGAGAAGGGATCATGACATGGCCATCCCCCCAGAGGGGG